AAAAAAAAAAAAAAAAAAACAGCAATGAATCCTACCTGAACTCACCACGATAAAGCTTCTGGAGCGCTTCAGAAAAAGTGTGTGTATATCTCACAGGCAAGCATAAGTGGCCCTCTGATCTGGAAGCAAAATAGGAAAAGACAATGAAAATGACAGTATAATTTTTGAAATTTCATCCCTTAAAAAATTAACAAAAACTCTTTTAGTTAGCAAAGCTAGACTTTTGACCTTTATGATACGGTATTCTTCCTACATATATAACACATCAGCAGTAGCACAGATTTTTCAGGCCCCAGGAAAGTGTAGGGGAGGCACAATAAGCTTTCTTCCACATTTCCCCTAGAAGCTTCCTGTTAAGCTAGTGATACTGTAGAAATATGTTTGTACTAATACAGTTCTGTCACCATAGTTCTATAACAGGAGCTTTAGCTTAATCTTCCAAGTTAGAAGAATATTTTTCTTTATTTATAGATAACTTGGTGATAAGAGACAGGTAAGGGACACTGCTAAGGTTAAAGGAATCTCATGTACAAGCCAGAAAACCAAACACTGACCCCTTTTCATGCATGATATTTGATAACTTGAAGGCAGTTGTTATTTAAACTCTGCTGTTCAGACCCAATACTGATAGAGTGTCTATTCACAGCATTTGAAAAGTTTTGGAAGAGAAGTAGGGGCTGGAAAGAACTAAATCCTTTTGGCCATCACATTCTCATCAGCTAAGATTATATTAATAGGGAGCACCAGAAGTAGAAATCCAAATCTAGAAGTCTCAACAGACAGAGCTTTGGTGCGTTCAGAGTTTTCACTTGCCATCCATTTGAAGGTTATTCCAAGCAGGCAGTGCTAATACACTGAACCCACCTGCTCCAATCAATCAATTTGCTAGGTGAATGCAACTGGTGCTGAGTTGTAAGAGGACAACTAAATGCCATAGAGAATGCTGTCTCCTCAGCCAGTCAAAGTATGATATGGTTTACATGAAGGAACCAGGGACGAGAAAAAAAATAAACAAGCCACACACACACAGATGCACACATTTGTTGAGGCCCTATCACATTTCAAATAGAATTTACCTTCTTAATAAAGAAATTAAGTTTCTGAATATCTAGGCATCACTCAGTTTGAAAACAATAATAGAGTTTTGCATTTTCCAGACACTATTCTATACTGCCATTTCTAGCCTTGAGCTTTTGGTTAGTAATACAAGTTGACTGGCTCTGAGTGCCTTTACACTTGCATGTGAACACAGCTGTGAGCAGTTCAGGAAGTTATTGCTTATCCAATACTTTTTAACAGACAGGATAACTCATTGTGTGCATTTTTGTAATAATAATAATAAAAAGCTGTAATACCTTCACTTTATTTCTATAATCCACTAGAACACAGCATATATGTTTGGCAACATATATGTTGCCAAATGCCAGGAGACAAAAAGCTACCTGAGGGGAAATAATAGGCCCTGGCAGGTCTCTCCAACCAGAATGCAATCCTATCTTATTAGTCCTATAGAATCCTATACAATACTAACCTATTAGACATACTCCAAACCTTGGTCTAAGAGCATCTACTTGTCCTGGGCTACAGAGTGACCAGGACCAAGAAAGCACACTCTAAAAAGTCATTCTGGGAATATCTGCTTAACCTACACAATCATTTACAGCAGTTAACAATCAGTTATACTACTGCTCCACACAATTCCTGCTACTTATATAATTGTACATTCAACCTCATTTCAAACAGGGTGCTACTTTGTTCTGGAGCTTGCATAAATTCCCATGGTGTCAATGCTTACTGGTACTGGATTTTGTCGGGAAAAAGGATGTTTGTGAAGATGAGAA